GTGTATTTCTAAGCTTCTCTGCCACAAGCAAACTCAGTTCACAGCCACAGCTTCCCTTTCTGGTCTACCCTACGTTAAACCCAGGCCTGCTCAAGTCTCCAGATCAGGGATGCCCACACTTGTGTTTCTAATGGTGGTTAGTAAAGGTTTTACCGCAGAAGTGTATTTACAGTAGCAGCAAGGGAGCCTCACATTTCTCAAGCTTCATTCTTTTTAGCAGCTCTAAATGTGCTGTGTGTAGACCTATGTCACAAATTATTTGCAAAATACTTTTGTTAAATGGTACTTACTTTAAATTGTGGGGTTTGTTTGTTTGTTTGTTTGTTTTCTTTCATTGGATGAAGATTACCAAGAATAATTTCACAAACTAAAATTTAGAGTACAGGACAAGAATCAACAAGGATGATTAACAATGACCAATAGATAGCAGAAATTAATTGACATGCAACATACACACATGGCAAACCCACATTTTAGATATCATGGTGCTTCATTTAAACTCCTCAGTTAGAAATTCAGATCAGTAATTAAATCATAATCCTATATAATCGACTCATGCAGTATCAGTAGGAGTTCTGTGCATGGAATAAGCTGTAAGAACAAGCTATTACGTCCACATAAAAGGCATTTATAATTCTAAGCACCAGAACAAGCACACAAACACTGGAGCTTAAAAGTCCATTGCTCTTGAGTAGTAAATGTTATGCTGTCATATCACCAACATGATCATTCTCGAGACACTAGGTTCCATAAAAAACATACAGCAAGATTTGTTTTTTAACAACTCCAACCTTGCCCACTATGGTTTAATTCATTAAAAATAAGGAAGATGCTTATCCTTGGGTGAAAGACACCACAGAAAGATCATATGCCTGTCACACCACCCAGGAGCTGCCATGACACAGCCGTTCCACAGCTCGGGCTGCTTCCCAGCCCTTGCCCATGTTCGGGCTAACAATGCTGTCTGTGTGAGGAGCGCTGTCCCCTCACCGACCCCACAGTCATCTGCAAGGCAGCGCAGAGGCCAGATCCAGCTGAGAGCCGCTTCCACCCAACTCGCTGCCTTTACCCTCGTGGGCTGGCAGCGAGACTCCAGACAAGGGGCAATAGTTCTTACAGGCTGTGCACAAAGTCCAACTCATGCTACATGCCTGACGGTCTTGCCGGCTGCTGCTGTCTTCCTACACCACTGAATACCTCACCAGGTAGCCCCAGGCCACGTCCCTGTACCTGCACACATGTCACACCATGAACGACACTGGCCAACTCTGACAACTGCCTTAACCTGTGCAAAGAACCCACCACAAAGAGCAAAACTGTTCCCTATCGGAGACCATCCTGATTTTTAGAGGGCAAGGCCACGTGAACGCTACCTGGAACAGGCAACAAGGCTACTCTGCTTAGAGCACACATTCCCTCCAAGGAAGTCTTTATTCTGCATCCTTATTGCTGGCATTAATGGGCTACATAAACATAACAAACTTATCCCCCCCACCTGCCATAGCTGGCCACACTGATATTTAGTGATTTCAAACAAGTGGACAATTTGCAGACCATACTGTCAGGGAGGACTCGATTTACATCCTATTCCTCTAAGGAAAAAGCTCCTAAGGGGCCTTCCCCCCGCCACTACTCTCTCGAGATTCAGCAAGTGCTCCTCATGTCCAAAACTCTGAGAGGTGCTGATCACCATCAGTTAAGAGATCTGGTGAATGGAGAGTTCCTTGCCCCAGCCTTCACATTCACAGGTACACCGAAAGCCACAACTGAGACTGTTAAAAACCATAGTCTTCTGTATTTTCAGACCATGACACCATGAGCTGGGGAGCTCCCACCTAAAATTATGAGCCACATCAAAATCTGCACATCAGACCTGTGTCCTCTAACACACTGATGGGAGCTCTGATACTATCAGGGGATGACAGGACCTACTTTCTCATAGGAAGTTGGCAGGGTGCACAGCTGGGCCCCAAGATGCTGAATGCATAAATCACACTATGTGTAATTGAGGAGAGGATCCAATTCTGGTTTATTATTATCTATCATACTAGACATCAGTTAAGAGCCAGACTTAGAGGACAAGTAGATCATTATGTCACAAGATTTCATACCCTGCTAGAGAAGAAAAACTACGAACAATAGAGGTTATGGCTGGCAGATCCTCACACAAAGGCTCCTCTGCTTCAAGGAACAGCAGTCAATATAATCCACATGCCCACATAAGGCTCCTGCTGCCAGGGTGAGCCTGCAAGGCTACACCCAATGACAATCCAGGCCTGCCCTGAGCTGTTCCAAAACACTGGAGTACTCTGATTCCCAAGTCAGTCTTCGCTCTTATTCAGAAGAGATTTTCAAACCTAGGCTTGGTACAACAGCAGAGGTGGAACAACAAAACACTGCAAGGTATCCCCAACTGAATGGCACACAAAAGGAAAAGAAAGCAAAGGTTTACAATAGCCATTGGCTGCAATCACAAGCTGGGGCCAATGTAAGATAAGGAAAAAATAATTAAAAATCTAAAGCAGTGGTATATGGTATAGTTCTGCTTTGCAGCTGTCAGGGTGGGACTGGAACACAGGCCAAGCAGAACTGTCACCTCAGATTACTGAGAACCTTGGGCCATACCAACACATGTCCATGCTTCTGTAACAGAAACTGCTGAGGCAGAGAAGCCAAGCAGGTACATCTGGAAGAAAAAGTTCAGCAAGCCCCAAAACATCGGAGTTCACAGGAGTCACCAAGCGCTCCTCCAGGAACACGGGGAAGCTATCAGCTGAGAGAAGCACGGGGTGAACGTCTATGCCATCATGAGATAACTGGGTCACCAGGCAAATGACTTTGATTTACATCACTGAAAGGCGTTCTTGGGAGAACATCCTGCAAACCGCTCGGGCACTGAGGGAGGCTTGAAACGCAAGTGTGCTGGCAGAGGCCTCCCACCCTGCACCCCGCATCTGCTCTCTCAGCACCACGGCAGGATTTTCCCGTGAGAACTCCACACGGCTCCTGAAGGCTGCAGCCCAGCGGGTGATGTGCACGGGCAATGAGCAAATAACGTGTTACTAATTAGCCAGCAGCGACACGACGAGGGCAGGCTACAATACTCAGTGGGGAGGCAGGACCCGTCCCTGCTCTACCTAAGGCAGCTTTCAGCGGCACAAACAACCGGGGCAGCCCCGCGCCCCGACAGGGGCCGGGCGGCTGTACCACAGGGTCCCAGCCCACCACATCCCCGCCGGTGCCGGCCCGCGGTCGCCCCCCCCCCGCGCTGCGGCCGGGCGGGGCTCGGACCCCCGCGAAGGGCAGGCGGGGAGCGCCGAGGGAGGCCGAGGCCGCGGGGATTCCGCCCCAGGTGGGCGCCGCCGCCGGGCCGCCAGCCTCCCCTTCCCCTCCCCGAGCGGCGCCGCTGTGGGACAAAGCCCCCGCCGCTGCCGCGCACCTGCCCCGCCGGCCGCCCGCCTCTCCGCGGAACGGCGCCGGGGGGGGGGGGGGGGGGGGGCAGGTGCGGCGGGCAGGGCAGCCGCCCCCCCGCCGCCGCCGCTCCCCCCCCCCCCGCCGCCTCCTCCACCCCCCGCCGCCTCCTCCTCCTCCTCACCGCGGTCTCACCTCGGCCGGCGAAAGCAGCAGCAGCAGCAGCAGCGGCGGCGGCGGGCAGGGCACGGGCAGCAGCAGCCGCCTCATGGTGGCGGAGGGCGCTCCCCGCCGCTCGCACGGCCGCTCAGCCCGACGCCGCCTCCCCCGGAGACATGGCCGGGCTGCGCGCCCCGCACCGCCCGGCGTCCCACCCCCTCGCCGCCGCCTCAGCCTCCCGCCGCTCCCTCTAGCGCTCCCCGACTGGAAAGGCGGGAGCCGCGGCGGCGGGGGAAGCCCTGAGCGGGGCGGAGTGAGGGGACGAGCGGGACAGCCGGCAGCGGGAGGGGAGGGCCGGGCCGGTCGCCTCCCGCCGGCCCCTCGCCCGGGGCTTAAATGGCCGCCTTGCAGCAGGCGGAGGAGAGGGGGGAGCTGCGGATGGCGCTTCCCCGCCTTCACCCCTCCCTCCCTCCCTCCTGGCATCTGACATCTCCCCCCGCCGGGCCGGGTGAGGAAGTGGCTCCCTCCGAAAGTTTCCCGGCCTCCGTGCGCACCCCCGGAGGAAGCGGCGCCGCGGGGTGTGCCCGGCCCGGCCCTGGGGTGCTGCTCGGCGGCGGGCGGGACGCAGCAGGGTCGGTGGTGAAACGAAGCGAGCGCCGGCGGCGGGAGCCTCCCGGCGGGGGTAAGGGGCTGCCCCCCGCCGAGGGGAGCGCGGGTTTGCCGCGGTGAGTGGCTCCGCTTATTGCGCCATTCATCACCCCCAAGCAGTCCGCCCCGAAGGTCCTGTCCCTCCCCAGGCACTGCTTTGGACGTGTTTTAACCATCTTACCAAAAAGGACATGATACCGTCAAACACAATCACTTTTATAACAGTAACTTACTTCCCAGGTTTAACGCACCGTTTCACATTTCATTCATCTTGGATAAGGGAAAAGGAGAGACAGGGTTAGTTTACACAGTATATCTTTAATTCTGGAAACACTGGCAGTCTTCATTTTTTCAAAAGTTTTGAGCTCACATGTTTGTAATTTCCCTGGCTTTCCTGAGCCCTCAGAACACATGCACCGTCTTATGGAAGCAACAATTTCCACAGGAGTTTGTGGGAAGACTCAGAAGAATAAGGGCATTGGGGTTGTTTAGTGTGGAAAATAAAAGGCTCTGGGGAGACCTTACTGCGGCCTTTCAGAACTTAAAGGGGACTTATAAGGAAGGTGGGGACAGACTTTTCAGTAGAGTCTGTAGTGATAGGACATAGGGTAACGGTTTTAAACTGAAAGAGGGGGGAGTCAGACTAGATACAAGGAAGAAATTTACGATGAGGGTGATAAGGCACTGGCACAGGCTGCCCAGAGAGGTGGTAGTTGCCCCTTCCCTGGAAGGGTTCAAGGCCAGGTTGGACGGGGCTGGGAGCACCCTGGGCTGGGGGAAGAGGGTTGGACTAGATGATCTTTAAAGGTCCCTTCCAACCCAAACTGTTCTGTAAGGGCATGTGCGTACCTTACTGTTTGGAAGTCTAAGACTTACAGTTGTAGTTAAATAGTGTAGGGGCATCCCTTCATATCAATAAGATTTGTAGGAAGTAGATAATTACTTCAGAAAAGTACTTTTAAAATGATAGCATTCAAATAAAGAAATAAACACTATGCAAGAACCATTAATAAATCCACCTTTTCTATACTTCCCATTCAGTGCAAAGCAGCTGAGAATTGTTTTCCAGCTGAAGACTCCTCCTGGGAAACCACACACCTGTCTGAAGTCTCTCCAGCTGCAGTGAAGTTCTTATCCTGAGATAACTTCTGCAGATCAAACCCTACCATTTGGAAATTACAGCTCTGACTCTTAAAAGAAATTCCTTATTGCAGCTCCCTGTGCCTGGGCAGAGCCCCGGTAGGTCTAAGTTGCCAAACTGCAGCTTCTGGCCAGGCCAGGTTTTACTTGCATCTAAAATGGAACAAACTACCTTCGTGTTGGCAGGTCAGGGTTACACAGCTGCACTTGGGCAATCATAATTGGTCATCCTTGGCTCCAGCTCAGAACAACATGGCTTTTGTAATTGCATGCCTTTCCAGTACAACAACCTAGTAACTAATCCAGTTACCCCTGAAATTCAGTGGGAATCTCTCTACTGATTTAAGCAGTAATGGCAGCCAGCCCCGAGGGAGGAAATTAAAGGGAAAAAAAAATAAAAATAAAAAATGCACTGAGACAGCAATAAGTGGGATTCTGACCTGTTCAAATTTATAATTATCTTCAAGCTGATATTGCCATCTCCAGACTCTCCATGTCCCTGGACTCTCAATTCACTCATTCTTCTTTCCTTAATAGGCCACATAACCCAACTTAAAAAGCAAGGGGCATTGTATTTCGTAGGCTATGTTAATTCTTTGCTCAGCTACATCACTACTACAGGAAGCTAAACTTCTTTCACCACACCACATCTGCCTGGATCTGGTATAGCTGGTGGGGCTCTTTACATACAGGCTACATGGAATCTGTGATTAATTACTTTCTCATGTAACACTTGTGGCCGAGTCCACACAACTAATCATATGGCAGGTACCTGAACCAGGATGCCTATGAAGTTCTGGGAGATAATCTCATTTTTGGAGCATCCAGAACAGTAGAGGACTACATTAAATTTGCTTGTAGAGGTATCTAAGTAGAGTTTTTCTAACATTGTAGTATAAAATTACCTTAGTGCATATCTTTAATTATAACCATAAGTAATGCCGGTCATCAATAGGATTTATCCATAGTGGGTTAAATGGGCACAAAGAAAGCACAGGAGGTTTGTTACTGTTCTAGGGTACATCTCTGACTGCTACCAGACCTCAAGGAAAGTACTAACTCCTTTCCAGAGACATTTCTTGGGTGCAAGAAATACACAATCAGGGACGTAGCTCTGTCTGCACATTCTGATTAAATATTTGTCTCCTCCAGATTGTTTAAGATTCTGGGAAGAATGTTCCAAAAAGGCTTTTCTGATTAGATTTTGAGAGCTCCGTGGAGAAAGCATCACACGTGTACCTGACTGCTTCCTTGGATCAATGCCTTTGCTCTTTATAGCATGCTCTGGTTGACTGCGAGCCATGCAGACATCAGGGAAGAGCTGGGTGGCAAAGAGCTGTGATTCATGCCAGAATCAGACTCACATGCTGAAAATGGAAAAGAGAAATTAAAAGCCAAATTTTTTAAAGTATTCCAGGTGTTAATTGTTCAGCAACAATAACCATCACAACACAAATGATTTCCTAGGAATTAGAGGCTCAAGATTGCATTTCAAGCCAATGGCTCTTCACAGCTTGTTACTAATCTGCTGGAAATTCCCTGAATTACAACTGCTGTTGCCTAATTGTTTCTATAGATAAGTGTTGTTTATTTGACAGGCTTTTATTAAAGCTAAATGTGTGTCAGGATTATAAAACTGGGTAGGTGTTGCTCCTGGGCTAAAGCTTCTACTATACTTTCATCTGGAAGTTAATTTGTGCACCTGAGTCATGAAACCTCTTCAAAAGGAAGTGTCAGAAAGAAGTGTTTCCACATCCTTATAATCAAGCTTTTGAACAAGAGACCTAAGTTTAAAAGTCGCCGTGGGCTCTTGCACATAAATCCAGGAAGAATGTGCAGGCGTATTACTTATGGATGTTCTGTTTTATACAGCAAGGTATGCTACTAATGCTCTGGGCAAAGAGAAAGGGAAGACTGCAAAAATATAGTGACCCAAAGCTGTCCGGTTTAGAGCAGTTATCTTGGCTGACAATATTTGTCTTTCACTGAGACTGGCAATTAAATATGGTTTCTAAAAAAAAAAATAAAATCAGTATGGCTATATTTAACTGCATGCCACAGCCAGCATTGATCACAATAGTATATTCTCATTAGTTATTCACAGTTTCATTCATCAGCTCAATGTGCAGTGTCAGTCAAAAGAGGCATCAAATTGTGGAGCATCATCAGGAAGGGTGCTGAGAACAATGCAGAGAGCAACATTTTGCCAGTGTGTAAAACCCAGGTGCACCCACATCCTAACTCATGCCACTGCTCTCAGCATTGCAAGAAGGACATAATGAACTGAGGGAAGGTACCCAGAAGGGCTGTTAAAATGATGCAGCTGTCTTACCAGGGGACACTTAAAAAGCGGAGAGTTTTCAATTAAGAGAGGAGAAGATGAATGGAAAACTCCTTCCCTAGATCCCATCTAGAACTAGGAATCACTAACATTAATAAGAGATTTGTTTAACAGATACACTAAAATGCTTTCTTACATAGCAGGCAATGAATTTGTGGAGTATGTAGTCACAGCAGGTTTTAAAGGCAAATAGTATCAATAGTTCCAAAAAGAGGGTAGACAGATTCATAGACAACATGTCCATAAACAAGGAAAATCCAGAGATGAGTCCATAACATCCCTAACTGATGACTGTGGATGGTGGGAATAGACCTTAGCAGTCAAGTTTGTTTGCTCTTCCTAAACAGAATCTCCTAATGGCACTGCTGGGAGACAGGATACTGGGTTGGATGGATTCATCACTGCTCTGACCAAGTAGGGCATTTCTTAGTTGCTTACAGTAACAATGTCCAAAACAGAGTCTTGCTATAAAAGTACGGTATAAGCATGTAGCAAGAAACAAGGCTGCTAACATTGGCCTGCTCTTTCGGTAAGCAAGACAGGTAAAATGGCAAAGAAAGTGTCTGTTACTATTGTCACTCATAAGAGAGGAAGCACTCTGTCTTATGATTTCAGACTGAGGTCCAAAAGTGCTGCGTGGTTTTGCTTGCCATTGCAGTCAGACGAGATGGGACCTATGTGACTGACACAGAATGACAAATGGACTTCTGTCCTGTCCATCACTGCTCAGTGCCCCAAAGTTATGTCAGCCCAACGGGCTCTTCCTGGTTGACGTTACTCTGGCTCTTATTTACATCACTTCTTCTGACCCTAAAAGGGTCCACTGGGCTTCCATGTACCACTGAACTCAGAGATGATTCCCTTGGGAACAACTCACAAAGCAGAACTACAAGTCACTTTTACACTGCAACAGAGGAATAAGGGGAGAATAAAATAAATTGTACATGAACACAATGTACAGTGTTGTTCCAGGAACAAATGCAGTTCTACTACATTTAAAATAACCCTGAAATTAAAAAGATTGACTAAAGGTCTTGATAGTAGAAGGGATTTTTTTTTTTTTTTTTACCTATACACAAAAGTAGTAACAAAAGAGAACATAAATTTTTACAAATATATTTTGGCTCATATGTGCTTAGTTCAAATGGAAGATCACATCATGCAATTCAGTCTCTTTGCCTGAGCTCATCAGGGACATGATAAATACTGGACATAAAATTAGAAATCTTCCTTGAGAACAGAGTAGTCCATGGGAAGTATGTTGCACTCATGGAAAGGTTACTGAGATGAATGTCTTCATGGGTGCTGAGGACCTCCCTTGGATATCAATCTGTAGGCAGGAACTGAAGAATTTACAGCAAACACTACACTAGCCTCAGCAGCAGCTTTGATGGAAAAGCAGAAAGTGGCTAAATACTGCATCTGGGGATGGGCCTACCATTAGAAATGATGCAGAAAGATCTCAGATGTTGGATGTGGCTCTAACCTGGTTTCTGCTGGTACAAGCTCTCCACAGCCTGTAGCTGCAGGAGGTACCAGCTGGGGACTGCTATGGAGTATTTTAACTCTTAAACAGTACTTTTTAAAAAATTTTTCTCACGTTCCTCACAAGGAACTAAAGGTCTGTTGAGCTGCTGGCAGAGCCGTCTTTCAGATGGAAGGTACAACATGAGCTAGCAGGATATTCAAAGACAACACGTCACTTTCTACAGCAAGAAGAAAGGTAACGAGTTCTGGTTAGGCCAGGCTTGGGATGGTTTCATTTTGACTGAGGGGGAGGAAGAAGACAGGTTTTGTTGTTGTAGTCAGGGCTAGCAAAGGGAACAAATTGAAAACAAGCTTTTGTGGGTCTTTTACCTAACCTTCAACAAGACTTCAAAGTGCAGTAACTGAAAATGACTTTTGAAGGTAGGTAACACTTTCAATCTATTATGCTCATTCAGTGGCCAGTTTCCTCTATGTGGGAAGGCAAGTGGGCGGGAGGATATCTTTTGCATAATAATTGAAGGAAAATATGCATTAAACCCCCACAGACTACTAGCACACTCCAAAGCATCTTCAGCACCTGAGCTACTTTCAACAGAACAAAACATTTTTGTAAGTGACTCAAGTTCAAACAGACACCGGCCTTTTAAACAGGTCATCTTCTACTCAGCAACAAACAGACTCTTTCGGTGGGAGCAGGAAGAGGTCATAGTCTTATAGCTTGTCTCATAAATGCAAGTTCCCATGTAATCACCAGGCTTCAGCCAGCAGTAACGTCATGGGTTGCAAAGGGCTCTAGCTCAATAAATATACATCAAAGTTTTACTTAGACCGGTAGAAAGGGCAGGAGGAAAGTGATGTGCATGACAGGCAGTCTCTGCAGGATTTACCAAAGGGCACAGCCATAGCTCAGCTGCCCCACATGGGAGAGAGGTCTGAGGTAGCATATAGGACAAGAGGAAGTAGTGACTAGCAGGATTCTGGGACGTACCAGGAGCTGGCAGCCTGTGTAGCTGGCAGAAAGATTTCCCCTTCTTCACCTGCCATTTTTTTTTTTTTTGTTCTTGTCTCCCTGCTTATTAAAGAAATGCATAGATAATTTTCAGCATATAAAACTTCAGAGGAATCGCTTTCAATTACTATTTAAGTCCCCTAAATGACATCATATAATCCAAATGGAAAAACACCAAGCTAATTTATAAACTTGTACTACAAAACATTACAACAGGTGAGTCTGCTCTCATGAATGGGTGAAATCCCTGGTCTAGCGTGAACTAGCAGGTGTGTATATGACAGGGGACCTGTGCCAAGGGGCAGTAGAAAAGGGAGTGGCTGGACAGAAATCCCATCTGCCATGATCTCCTACCACATCCTGCCACCTCTAAGAACTGAAACCTTAAGAAACCTGTCAGCAAAACCATGCTTCTGTGACACCGCTTGCAAAACCGCTGATACTTTAACAGCACCAAGATTTCCACATCAGAGAATTGTCATCTCTAGAGTTACAGATGACTGCTCAAATACCAAAGTGAAAGATATCCATTAAAGAAGGAACAAATTAAAAGGTTCAAAATTAAATATGTTGAAATCTTTGACAAAATGACTGAGTCTCCTCTTCCCTTTCTTCTGACATTACAAATTGTGGGGTAGGCACAGTTTGAATGCTGGACTTTTATAATGTCTTTTGCTTATCTTCCCCAAGAAATATAAATAATAATGTGAAGAAATGATGCAAAATTGCAGGTATCTTCCAAGTGTGTATCAACTCTATCAGAAAAAGACCACTTATGGACATCTAAGGAGAGTAATTAGGGTCTTCAGGGTCATTTAACTCTTGCTCCATTGCATAAATTGCCCCTAAAAGTGATGAAGACACATCTTGTACTCATTTCACACATGGTACTGATACATGGACTATTTTCACAGCAATCTACATTTGGCAATACTGTAACAAAGTGGGAGAAGCAGTTATTTGAGCAATAAAACTACTGGCTGGAGCACAACTGGCCTGTTTTACATATAACCAGTATTCTCTTGCACAAATACCTGCTTTAAGCTAAACACCTTCTGCTTTTTACAAAGGTATGCAAAAAATGTCAGGAAGTAAACAGGCAAAAAGGCAGAGGTGAGACTGAATCCTTTCAGTGTTTGTATCCAGCACTGAAAGACCAAGATCAGAAGATATCCTGAGACTCCTCTTGGTGGATATCAGGTCCTATTTACTGTGCCCAGACCACTGTGGTTGAATTGGGATGGTTTCAAGCATCTTGGCAGTAACACCTAGCAATTGAGCTTGAAAAGCAAGATGGCAAGAAGGCTAGGAAGACATCTGCCTGGGAAGAAAACAAAAATGACATCAAAAAATTACCAGTTCACATTCCAGCTAGCATGAATTCCCTGGCTCTGAATATGCATCCCTGCACTTGCAATTCTAATGCCTGGTGATGCGCTCTGATCTTTGTTCATTTACTTGTCCTGTCTGACTGGAAATGATGTTTTGGCAACAACCTGATATTTACAGTGGCACCACAGCCCTAAGCATCCTTTAAGACATGCTGAGGCTTAGCTGGCCAAATTCTTATGCTGGCCTTTCAACTCTCAATGAGAGCTGAGTGCCTAGCTTGCTTATACCCTTTTTAAAAATCCCAGGTTCTGTTTTTCAATAACATTTTTTTTTAAATGTCTACTTTTAAAAAACTACCTGCTATCTACCACTTGAACAGTCATTGCTATACAGCTTCCTGATGCTACTGTGAAAAGCTCTTTCACTCACTAAACTCTAGTAAGTGAAATAATAAGCTATACATCAAATAATAAAGTATTGCTATTGCCCCATGTTCTAATACTTGCATAAGAACAGAAATGCTACATGAGCAGATTGCTCTTTGGATTAATAGTTTCTGTGTGCAGTGGTTCCAGCTGCAATTCCTCAGTTAAAACAACGGGCTGTTCTGAACAGTAGTTCTGGTCCCCAAGAAAACAAGGGTCCAAAAGTCCACATCAACAACTAACAATAAATCCTGTGGGAGGTACAGATCCTTTTAAAAACTGACAGATTAGATTCCATCTGCTTCAATAGGTACTCAACAGCAGTAGCCCAAGTTAATTTTACACGTGACATCTTAAAGAGGTTGGGTGAATAATCTGTTGTCTTAAAATGGAAAACTTTCATTTTCCTAAAGACCCCGAACTTCCCAAAGTGCATCTACACAGGTATATGCTGTTGCAGCAGCTTTGCAGGATATGAAAACAAGCAATCGTTTGTTATTTTCTATACTTGTCCTCCTTGCTAATTGCTACAGAGCAGGATAACTCCAGAGCAAGCTAGTACAGAAGGGCAATGACTTACAGACTAGTTGGTTCTTTTAGCTCCTATGAGTGACTGGCTAAGGAGTTATACCTGTCACCTCTGTTGCTAGTTGAGAGATTAAGCACACAACTCCTTTCAAGTATATACTATACATGGTTCTACAGCAGTACAGTTACTCAAATTAACGGTGTCACTGTAGAAGCACTCCTTTTAGGCAAGAAATAACAGTGGCCAGAGAGAGAGGAAACCAGAAGATAATAGGGTGAGGGGGAAACAGGTATCAAGGGCATGACAGAAAATTACTGCCTTATTTCTCCACAACACTCATACCTCCAGGTGGTACCAAAGCAAGGCAATAAAGATTCAAAACAGCTGATCAAGAACAAATCAAACTGTCCAGAACATCAACACAAAAGCAGCAAGTGAAAAGCAGGGAAACACTGAAACTAGGGTTTTTTTCTTGTTGAAGGAGCATTGCTGCTGCTGCACCATCAGCCTGTGTAGAGGTAGGACTCACTTTCTGGCTGCAAGCACTGCAGAGGTGGCCATAAACACAGTGCACGGGTTTTCTGTCAAACTGTGCTGTCATCTTCCACAAACTAGACTGCACTGAGGCTTTCTGCTAAGACTAAGCTCCTCATTCTCAGTCTCTGGCTTCTTTGCTATAATGCACTCTAAGAGGGACACTTAACAACTGATACAGGGGAAAAATCATTGTCATGAGAATACTCGCCATGGCTATATACCACAACGATTTGGTCAGCCTTGCCTGGGTCCCAGGCAGGTGGGTGTCTTGTGGTTTCAAGGTGGTATGTCCTTCTGAGAGATTTCTAATCCCCGCAACTCAGGAAAGCGGGAGATAATGGAGGATGTGCTTGTGCTTCCTAGTGATTATCAGATGGAATCATAGTGGAGCATTTGCATGATTATTTCTTGTATCCAGCATACTTAATTATATATAGGGAATAAACCTGATTATGCCTCTTCTAGAAAGCATATTCTTTTGCACCAGAACTCAATCTTGCCTTTACTATTAATATATGGTTTGGTGAGATAAATACAATCCAAGTTTTAATATTTTTTTTTAGTTATTTGTCCCGGCATCAATCTTACCTAGTGTATTGACCAGTTCTGATTCTACAGGAAGTACGTATCTCCAGGATTCAGCAATTCTTTGTCTAAAGGTAGAAGATTCAAAATTAAAGTTAAAACCGTAAGTGATCAAGAGATTCTGTTTAACTACAAAACTTCTATTTGCTGCTCTCCTGAATTGGTCTTCAGGCTTTGGATTCTCCAGGTCTTGAGAGACATGAGGATTAATCTTCACTGCTGTCTACATGCTCGCTAAAAGTTTTGATTTCCTAAATAAGCCTTCTAGTTAAGAGAGATCATTTAGATTTTTCTTTACAGGTTTTAAGATATGAAGGTAAATAATCCATTTAGTTTGGTGCAGTAATTCCTCCCTTTCTCGTAGAAACTGATGTTTCTGTTGTGTCTTACTGGAGTTTGGGACACTGCATACAAGCGTGGGCTGAGGTAGAGGTTAAGGCATGCACAGGCAAAAGCAAAGCAATAGCTATAGGAGAAAAACAGAGGAGGTGGGAAGTTTATTTAGCAGTCAGTGGTGGTGCTATTCCTTTCAAGAGGGTAGTTGCCAAGTAGGTTCCCTAATTTCTCTCCCCTTGTTCCTCAGCCCTCCTTTTCTGGACACAGAAGACTGCTCTACAGGGCCTATTACTTCTATAACTCATTTATCCACAAATGAGGGCCATATTCCTTCCTGGCAGCTCACTAGCTACAGAACATGCTTTAGCCACACAAGCTTTACTGCCTCATCTAGGTTCTGGCAGAGTAAGCTGGAAGACAACTGTTAGCCAACAGATAATCTTTCTCTTGGGATGCCCTGCCAGTCCCCATTCCTTCCCTAGACAATATCAGGTTGACATGGTATATTTTCTAAGAGACACCTACAGACTAGCAAAGCCAGTAAGGAAGTAGAAGCTGCCTAAATGCAGTGCAAAGTCTGATGTTACTTCCATCCAACTACAAATAATTGCAGTCATCTCAGCTGCTCTGATTTAATTTCACTTTAACTACAGCATCACCTTTAACAGTTTGACTGCCAACCTCATGACAGTGGGTTTTTTCCTTGTAGAAGGACCTGCATTTGCATCACAAGCAGGAAAGACTCCCAGCTTTTCTTTAAGATGAAATATGATTGGATCCCTCCTGATTGCAGGAGTAAGCCTAGAAACATGATCCAAGAGCTCCCTAAAGGAGCCTTCAGAAGGCAGTGTTGGGGGGGAGAGGGGGAAGAGGGCAAGAACACATGATTTTTAAGTTCATCTCATGACCTCTGAACACCTGGAAGAATAAAAGTCCGGTTTTTGAGAAGCTTTTGCCAATTCAGAGGCCACAGACCTTCATTCAATCCTTTCTCATCTTTACCTTGGATTGCAAATGGACATTCAAGATGCATAAGGTAAAGATGGAGCACGTTGAATTCCTACATTCCTGCCACTGTTAAAGCCATTCAGTGTCTGAATCTCTGACCCTAAAGGCCTGGCCTGGCTAGACAGTGCTGTTTGGGCAAGGAAAATCTGCCCAGGTGCTTTTAATTATTAGGAAAGTAGCTTTCCAGAAATAGCTTGCTGGCTGTTTGCCAGATCTGTTTCTTCCAACAGGAAAAGCAAAATGTAAACATCCAGCACTTCATGACACACCACAGAAGTCCACTCCAGCTGGAGCAGACTCTGGAAAGACTGCGCTACCCTCTCATCTCTTTTACAAAACCCTGTGCCAGCTCATAAGCAGAGTTATTAGCAGGTTGCTGTGGGGAGATTCTGAGAGCAACTTCACACTGCAGGAGACACTACAGTGCTGAAGAATCTCACAAGTCTTGACACAGAAATGCTCCTTACAGGCTTATGAGTGTAGAGTAAACAGGGAGCTGCTGCTATGCAAACGCTTACAAAGCCCTTGGGTACTGCCAAATGAGACCAGTCCCACCCAGTTGCCTACTGCTGACAAGATTGGGCCCACCTGAAACTGGTTGAGAAGGAAGGTTGGTTGATATATAGGTGAATAGATAGGTCTGCTCTCTTTTATTCCCTTCTTCAGCATTTATTTCTTCTCAAAACCTCCTAATATGGGTACTATCAGACCTGCCTGAACTTCAGAAGAACTACTTTTTAGTTACGTGGCAGTGTGCTTACTGATGAGACAGGTGTAAAGGTATTTCATGGTATCTCACATGTTGTAATTTCTCTTAGGCTCCAAAGACAACTCTTTAGGGAGTATTTCGCCTTCACCTTCCTTGATCTGTACCTGGGGATCTCTTAGAGGAGGCAATCCTCAGGTGCAAATCCAATAGGAAAAAAAGCATTCCCCTAATAACTCTAGGCATGACACACATGAGGAGGCAAGAAAGTGTGGTTTCTGGGTTCTGCCACCTATGCACAATATTCTGGCAGGAAGAAAATGAGACAGAGAATGTTAGGGTGAATAAATAGAATTTCACTCTTTGCAGTAACTGCCAGGCAGCTCATGGCTCCAATTCTCCCTTTGCAGCCTTGCTCCCCACTGGCACGGCATCTGTGCTCAGTCTTTCAGCATTCAAAGTTCCCTATTTCTGGAACCTGTAGCCGAACTACGTGACAGGAGATACATTATTATTAGTGCTTTAGTTTATAGTTTGGCAATTTTTGGAAGACAACCAGAGGACATGTTAAAGGACTGCAGGCTAAAATATGGAAATGGCATGGTTTGATTGCTCGGATATTACTACTTTACTTTTAATTTCAGCGATGCCTAGGCATTACCAGGAGCAAAGTTCCTTTACTGGTAAGTGCTATACAAATATGTAGGATAACATTTGCAATAAAGAGGTGATGGATAAAGTACAAGAGACAGAGAAGGGAGGTTTTTTTACAGATGGCACAGTAAGCGATTAAGTAGCTTGCACAAGGTTGCAGAAAGAGATTGTGTGAGAGCCAGAAACTGAGACTATGTCTGCTGAGTCATAAAACATGAGTTTACTCATCTGAATTTTTTCCCATTGCATAAATGCCAAGGAGCTCGGCTGCGATATAATACACATGAGTTGCTTAAATGTAACTGAACTCAGTCAACAGAGAGAGGTTTCATTAGCTTAGAGAAAATAAGACCTTTATCTTACAGAGGGTGGGAAATGACTACTTATTTGCATGACAGGCAGTGGCCTAGTCTTCTGGGTCACTGCTGGGCAGCGTTACCATTGTGCTTAGTTCCAATAGGGAGATGACTCACTAGTGTTGACACTGTGGCGCTGCTGTTGGTCTCTCTTGCACATCTGACTTCCTTGCTTTGGGCAATTTTTACAACCGTACCCATCATCCACAGTTCTTCAGCTCATTCAAAGGTTCCATAGCCAAACTCATAGGTCTAGAGGGAGCTATGTGCAAATACTGCCTATCTGCTACAGGTACAGGTAGATGCCAAGGGAGGATTGCAGCTAAATGGTGAAGTCCTTGCAATTTACAGTACAGAGAGGAGGGAAGAGGGAATTGCATTGCAGACCACTGCAGACTGATTCAGGAATTTCTCCTCTGGAGACCGTTGTGAAAAAATAAAGGATCATCTTGCTTCCTCTTCACAGGAGGTCAGACAAGGCAGAGAACTGGCGTCAGCCCCAGCCAGCTGAAATTAGCAAGAATTAGCAAGAAATCCAGTGTCCAAAAGTAACCTCTATAAAAATTAAGACCCTTATATGGCACCAAGATAATGCAAAAGAGAGCTTCCCAGGAGGACTGTGGAAACATCAGCACTGTCCCATTACACAGTCCTTCACATCTGCCTACCAGGCAAACAAATAGCTAATTCAGTCACTAAAGAGATTTGATGCTTTCTGTAGGGGCTCTGGGAATTGAAGAGGTGGTATGACATAGGATGGTAAAGAAAGAAACAAAGCTGGGGCAGAGGGTCCCACTGTGTAGGAAAAAGCCCCCAGTTGGCAGGTGTTTGACTGTTTGCCCTGACCATCAGCCTCTGGTCTGGCGGAGTACTCACAGCTATTTAAATTGCAGCATTTAAGCAGTTCATTGAAGGCAATGTGGCTGCGTCTGGGCTTGGAGGGTAACACACAAACTAAATGCTCTACTACAGCGCTGTCTTGAAGTACTTCCCAAAAATGCAAGAATGAGCTGCTTCTGGCATTGCCAAGGCTAGATTTTTGCTAAACATTTCTCACTAGTCCATGTCAGCTCTGATGGGGAGATAGCAGCAATGTGGACTCTTGAGCAAAACAGACTTTGAACTGAATGATAAAGGTTTGAGTCCATGAGGAAGGATTTTTAGAAGGCCTAAATGCATTAGACGCTCAGATAGCATTGATTTTACAAATTCTAGAAAGAAAATCTGCACTTCAGAATCCATATATAAGTTTCTAGAAAAGTAATTTGACTTTCAAATTAGCATATGTTCTCATCTCCAATGGGATTTTCACATGTCCAGAACTTATGAAAAAGCAATATATTCCTCTGTAGGAGGCTAAGCCTAAACATTTATTAACATAACTTAGATACTCACATTTGTAAAATGTTGACCTCCCTCTAAAATTGTGGTTTACTAACTGATTTTTCCTATTATCTAAAAGTTGTACATGTAATGCTTTCTAACTACACCAATAGGTTGTGCATGGAAATTAAGACTATGTTAAAACAAGCCTAGAAAAAAAATTCTTGAAAATTTGGGTCTGTTTGGGTGGTTCCTGCAATTTGTCTTTTCATAAAATGGCCTCATTTGCCTGGGGAAAAATTTAAATGCTCTTAGTTTTTGAATGTTGTCCAATGAAAATTTCTGAAGGTTATTTTTTTCCATTTGAGAACAGAAACATGTCCGCTCCATGCTCCCCTGCCCACAGTTGTTAAAAGATATGTAAAAGCACAGAAAAAAGCCCAACCCAAAACATTAGTTATTAAACCTCCCTCTTCCTCTTATTTTGCAATAACAGTTCAGAAGCATGCACAGTTAACTTTTCATCATGAAAACTATTCTCATCTAAGTTGCTAATACACCCATAGAACTGATAAGCTAAGAATATTTCCTGAATCTTTTTTTTTTTTTTTTAATTGCCACTTAGTATATATTTCCATGCCAAGCAGAAGTGTGTTCTCTACCCACTCTGAAATTCATAATCAAA